TTTCGCAAGTTATTTAAGAGTGGCATAAACTCGGTTGCCTTGATCAGATGTTTTATGGTACCAGGTTAAAAGTCATACTTTTATTGTATCATGGTTAATGTGACACAGGGTTAATTAGGTAGAAAGACTGCAGTATAAACTATAACCATATGTTCCTCTCAAAACATATCGTATATTATTATTATTATTGATTTAATTACATTCCTTTGAGTTCCGAGTGGATCACATAGTGATGATATGAGGATTTATATTTAGCTTATCAATTGATTTTATCTTCTTTTCAAATAACGCATGCTAGGGTGATGATAAGGGATCAATATTTAGACTATACATTGATTGATTTTATCTTTCTTCATATCACGCTATATTACCATTATGATTATTATTGTATGCTAGTTGACATACTGCTGAATAGACATTCACTCTCCCTCTCTCTCTCCCTTCCATTGTTTGTCCTCACCTGATCACTGTGATCACTATGGCGCCTTACAAGTCTAAGCAAAATATAAAGCACAGGGCTTTTAAGCTTCAACTTCATCGACTTTGAAAAGACCTTCAACAGCGTTGACTGAGAAGTAATTTCGAAACTACTCCAACACTATGGAGCTATATGACCAATGCTGCACATGGCAAGTGATCCACAACGGAGAAATTCAAGGAAACCCTTGAATTGAAGACAGGAGGAGGAAGACAAGGCCGCCTACTAACATCGATGATATACTTGATTGAGGTGGACTGAATCGTGTGGAAGACCGTGGCGTGGGTGTAGTAGGAAGACAGGAATGCGTTGAACCCCTAGAAAGACTCTAGAAGATTTAGACTTCGCAAGTGGATGATTTCATGTTTCGTGTCACACAAATTCGAAGACTTATAGATAAAAACCAACAAACTGGCTGAAGAGGCCGGCAGTGAAGACAGGATTCCCCACGTGAACATAGAGAAGACAGAGGTGATGACGATAACCAAACAACAACAGCAAGTACCAGTCACTTCCTTCACTTATCAGCATAAACAAAGAAATTTGGATTTTAAACATCCATGTCAAGTCAGTTGTTCTATATGGGTCAGAAACTTAATGCGTCACAAAAAACATTTCGAACAGACTGCAGACTTTTATCAACAGCTTTCTTTGCCAGCTCCATACTGAAGGTTAGATGGCCAGGAAGAATTAGTAACAAGAAACTCTAGGAACGAACCAATCAGGAACTTACTGACCAACAAGCAGGCAGAAGGAAATGGATATGGATTGGACACACGCTGAGACCGTTGAGTAAAATCACACGCCAGACAGAACGTTGAGTCAAACCCGAATGAGAGTTGAGTGTTCGAGTGTAATATGGAGGAGGTAATTCGAGGAGCAGATGAAAGCTTATAGGAAATCGCAGAGACAGCTAAAGAGGACTACAGAGAACAGGATGAAATAAAGATGAGCTGTAGAAGCCTTATGTTCCACTCGGAACTCAAGGGAACAATAATGATAATAATTTCTGTAGAATTCATAATATTATAAGGGATGAGGCCGCCAACCTCATACCCAACCTTCACTGTAATTCGGGCTTGCTATCAGTTAAGCGAGATTTAGAAGTGAATCGACCGGGAACCAAACACAGGTCCACATGAGGCGGAGCTGGCGGGCATTCCTACCCCGATGAACTACCGTGGAAGTGTATAGAAAACCCGAAAAATATAATCTAAAGAAATACTAAACATCTCCTACCACAAAATAAATGGCTAGTAACCCAACGAAACTTAGAAAATAAAACTAAATCCTTTAGAAGTACAAGTAGTATTTGGTTAGAGATGAAAACTATTCAGTTACACATAACATAATAGGGCGTTAAATCTTAGAAAACAAATTATTTTCCTAGAATTTCTAATTTACAAAACCTAAGCAAGAGCCTACTGTGCGTCGGTGGTATAGTGGTAGAGTCGTCACCAAATACGCAGGTGGTCCGGGGTTCGATCCCCGGCCACGGACTCACTCATTTACCTCGCTAAGCCAGTAATAAGAGTGGTTAAGAGGGAAGGTTGTGAGGCATGAGGCTAGCAACCCCATCCCGTAAAAGTAAACACCACTGCTACCAAAACTTAGAAGCTCTAGCTTGAAGCTCTATGTTCCACTGGGAACGTAAAGGAATAAAAATAAATCAAGATTCTATAGAAATATAGCAGATATAGCTTGAAAAATCATGACAGAATAGGTCAACACAATACTCATTCACGTGATGCATTAAATAACTTATTGAAAAAAGTAGAAAATAAAGCGAAATAGGAGTACATCAAAAATGTGTTCATAGTCAACCACTTGTATGCTTATTTGATAAGCATATGAATGAGACCAAACAGATCAATACATGCCAAGCCAATAGTACAACAACAACAACAGCCTACTGTCTGTATATCTAAATGGCATGTAAAGAAATCGTTTTATATTATAATGGAGAAGATTTATAGTCCCGATGAATGATATTGTTGTATCCCCTGAGCTGGATAGTGGTACTTACGACGCTTTCACTGTCTTTCTACACAACATCTTCATCGTATACTTCAATTTGAAATCCACAGTCATCTCAAGAGATCTTTTCTTGATAAACTACTCGTGGAGAATTCCAAAATGCTCCTTTTCAAAATGAAGTATGCGTTGAAGATATTGTCTAGAAAGAGGACAATGAAAGCTTCGCAAATTAACCATCCAGCTCACAGAACACACAACCACACCAAAAATCCCTTCGCTGTGATTCATTTCCTAATTGATTCTCATTGGATTACTCGTATTATGCCTTGCCTTTATTTAACCTACGACTCAGAATGAAGATATATATATATATATAAATGGTCTAAAGGCTGTCTGCGCGTCGGTGGCATAGCGGTTAGGACGCTCGCCGACCATGCACATGGTCCGGGGTTCGATCCCCGGCCGACGCACCCCTTTACCTCGCTAAGCCAGAAATAATGCTGGTGAAGAGGAAAGGTTGCGCATGAGGCTAGCAACCCCATACTGTAAAATAAACACTGGTACAGAAATTTCAAGCCACTAGCTTGGAGCCCTATGTTCCACTGGGGATCGTGAAGGAAAATTAAAGCCTGTCTGGTTCCACCGTGTTTGTTTCTTCCGAGCACCAGTTAGTCTACGCACAATTATTGAGCCTAGAACTTTAGATACCATATTGGTCAAGCTAAACCCCCTGTGATTATCACAGGAAGACTTGTCTCACTTCTGTTTATCGGGATTATCAATGAATTACACCAGGCAGATGGGGACTACCTCTTATTCCCAGACGCTACCTAACATCTTAGTTAACATGGACAGTAAACTGTCTCTACCATTCTTGACACAGCGGTTAGGACTCTCGCCGACCATGCACATGGTCCGGGGTTCGATCCCCTGCCAACGAACACCTGATATCAATGGTTGGCCTGCAAATTTCTGCTACCGATATCTCATGCTGAAAATTCCATACTTCTACCAAAAATACGGTGTGGAATCAAGCTATAATCAAAATAAAAATTATATATATATATACCATTTTATATCATATTACACTATTTCACTTTTCATTCTAGAGCCTTTCACGAAATAAACCCTACTCATATTTTGACAATCTTAAATGATGATCATTGATGGTGATATGTGGAAATCTACACGGGAATCCAGCTAGACCAGGTATGTTTTTGCAGCGATGAATCGTTGCTGCCACAGTACATTATATCAGTAAGTATTGAAACCAAGAGTAAATGTCGACACTGCACAACCTGACCTTTAAACTCTAATATATGACGGTAAACCGGTTATAACTCGTTGGCTTATAATGTGTCCTCAGACATACACATACACATGAAACAATATAGAAATTCAGAATTCAACAATGATAAATACAATTTATAAAATTACCAAGGTCACTGTTGCCTATTTTGTAGCTGAGAGATAACAGAGTATCTCTATAATTATATATATATTATATATATATAATTATAAAAAGAGCTAAACCAATGCAATATGTAAAATGAAACGCTGAAAATTCCATGCTGTAAATTGTTATTGTTGTGGAATAAAGTGATTATCATTATTATTATTAACCTGGGGGGGGGGGGGGGGGTACGCAACTATGTCTAATTTAATAGGAACTAAGCGAATCGCAAGTTACATTCGTAGGCATATGAAGTTAAATCAGTGATCATGAATCTGATTCGTCAATTGATAAGCACTCTTTCCAAAACTAAATTCAGATCAATGGTAAAAACAGAAACCTGCTGAATGAGTTTCAACACAGAACACACTTTGCAAAAATGTATCACAGTTCAAGTTACCACACTCCATGCAGCACAAAAAGGTGGAAAAAAGGAAAACAAAAACATTTAAACGAACTGTTACTAATGAACAGAAATGTGACGGAGGAAGAAAGAATAGTAACATGTAACGCTCGCCACACAAGCACGTGGTCCGAGGTTCGATCTCTCGACCAACGCACTGGTTAACCTCGCTTAGCCGATTATAAGGCCTGTAGCGACCCAACCCCGGAACGTAAAGGAATAAAATAAAGATAAAATGTTAAAAAAATAAGGGTTTAGTGGATAAGTGGGACTATTAAGCATGAATATATCTGAGCCATATATCACCAATAGTTTTCAGCCACTTGGTTCTCAGAATCCCGAGGACCTCAACCAGAGAGTCAACACCTCCCCTAACCGTCATTGGCTCAAATCAACTTTTCAACCCAACCCTATGCTAGATAACATTGCTCCTAGTCATCTCAGTCAACGTAGCTTCATCAAGTGACTTATCCCATACTGGAAATGACAAAATTCCACACACACACACACACAAAGACATACAGAATCGATTGGAAAGATGTCATATCACTGACTGTACAAAGAAGAAGAATAAAACTAACTCCCAATATTCAATAAAATATTTCGTTATCTTTTAGAATAGAAACACATATACGTACAAGTCTTTTCAACATTATCAATATGAAAGGAGGTTATCAAATTTCACTTACGATATTTTATTGCGTTCCTCCAACGAATCACATGGAAACTTGACATTTGTTTGCGCTGAATGGAAACAGTTAAGAAACAATAACAAAACAGTAATTAAAACCTTCCTTAGTAAATCTTTATACTGTTTAAAGTGTATGAGCTGACATCTTTAAAAAAAAAATACAACTAACTGGCTTGTTGAAGATGAATTAAGCATTGTATATGATGCGTTGATTGAAAATAGCTATCCCGACAAATTCATCAAAAAACACATGACAAAGAAAATAAGTTCAAAGAAACTTTAATGCTGGAGAACTACACGTCTTATTCTCTACACTACCGATAGTGATTCCTCGACTGAAAGATGAAGAACCTAGACTAGCCACTTTCAATTGTATCTACCAATTCAACTGCGCTTGTGGAGTGAGTTATATCGGCCGTTGCACTAAGAACTGGATTTTTCGGGCTTGAGAACATCTCTCAGTATGGTTAAGTAAAGGTGTAGTAAAAACCATCAACAGTTCGTTATTAGACCAGTGTTGAAGAATCCTTCTCTATCATCTACGGGGTGCCAAATAAATTGCCTAGAAACATCGAAGTACCACATGCTCCAAACGAAGGTTATCGCAGTTCGCATGAAACAACCAGTGCTCTGTGTGCAGAAGAAGCAAGTCCAGCCACTACTACTGCTCTCGCTGGCCGTAAATGGAGACTATTAATACATGAATTTGTATTATTATCTTTCCTAATTTTTCTGATATTCAATGTATTGTTATGTTGATGCTACTGAACTGTAATCTATTGATATTATTGATTCAATGTTACTTAGACATTAATGTTGTTCATAACACTAATTCATTCATCCACTATAATGTATACATAGCTGTAGAGCCTGATGATAAAGTTATTGAAAAGAGTATTCTCCGTTCAGTAAACATTCTTTGGACTTGTTATCGTAAAACTTTACACAAAAATTCATCAGCTCAAGTTGTTATTACTATTCCCTTGGGTTCCAAGTGGAACATAGGGCTTCAACAACACATCTCCACTTTGCTCTACTTTCTGCTGTCCTCATCAGCTGCGTCCACAATGGCCCATATCTCTTATCTCCTCCATATCACCCTCGCACCGACGATCCCATTGGGATTCCACTCGAGCGATGCCCTACATCGCGAGCTATGTCATTCGACAGCCTCCTCAACGTATGCCCGATCAATCCATCTCCATTTTCCCCTACATATTTGTTGAGCGATCGGCTCTTGGTTAGTTTTGTTGCTAAGCCTATTATACTTACCCAAGAGTTGAACATGTAAAGGATTCACAACTGCTTATTTTCTACGTCCATTTAGTCGAAGGCGTACACATATCATGTACTAATCATATAACCGGAGTCATATGTCTTCCTTTAATTCATCAAGTATTCAACTCCTAATAACTACAAGTTTGAACACAGAGTGATGTCATTGAAAATCACGGAGTACTGCAAAGCTGTTTCGCCCTAGTTTGGGACTCTCCATGAGTACACACCCACCAGGATTCGAACCCAGGATCTTCCAATCATAAGGTAAGCTCGCAGAACATTCTAGCTCATGAATTCCAACTTCTGACAATTTAATTTATCTACTGAATCTAACATATAACAACGAAAGCAATGGTTGGAGTACACCAAAGCCTCACTTGGAAAGATAAATATGTTTATCATTCATCTGAAGGGTAGAATATTTTTATCTCTAAATAGATACAATAGAAATATTTCTTCTCTACAAAATGAATTTTCCCTTTTTATGGAGTACACATTGTGCAAAAACAAAAACAAAGTATACAATGCTTATATAATGCCTACTAAAAATAGACGTTATATTATATAAATAACAGAGAGGCATCCATTATTGATATAAGTATAAAACTTGGGCACTGTAGTAGAGTACAGCTCCATTATAGATAAGATTTATTTTGATAAATCACACAGTGTTGTACAGTAATATTAACTCATGACGTTTCGAGCACAAATTGTCAGTCATAATCATATCAAGTTACTCACACAACTTCTTTCCTTCATTTATATACATGTGTGGAATTGACCAGATATTTGAATAAAAATCAATATGCGATAATGTAGATTGAGAAATAATAATATGAGTGTTATTGATCAATTACAATTAGATGGGATGAGTGTTTTTTTTTAAGTCAAAATAAGTAACTTGTTAGAATGTTGTGATGTGCTTGAATTGAGACAGAATTTTAAGATTATTTATTATCCTCTTCTGATTTGACTGGCGGTAATAACATCTTCCATATTTCTGGTATTTGCATTGAGTCATTTCTGTTGCATGTGTTGGGTGTAGACTCAGTGAACCAGACAGGATTCAGTAATCAATCTCTCTCTCCACCTACATAGATTACTTCTTAGAATTTTAACCCTCTCCCACCCTATTGTGTGGTTGTGTGTTAATGCATGTAGTGCAATTACTGAGCTTTGTTCTAAATTACTTAACTTTGCGGCGTCAACCATTCTTACCTTAGCTAAATTCTTATGTTCTGACAATCTGACTACCTTTGACCTACTAGTCTAACCTATGTAGTTGACCTCACAGTCATTGCAGGGTATTTTCTAAATTATACTATTTTGTCTAATTGGGTCAACAGGGTCTTTTAACTTACAGAGCTTGTCTCTGAGTGAGTTTGTAGGTTTGAATGCCACCCCAATTCCTGCTTTAATAAGAATCCTACATAGGGTCTCAGATGTCCCCTCCATATATGGTATAACAGTAGATGACTTATATTCTCTCTTATTTATGCTATCACTACTAGTTTCACAATTATTTTTAATTTGCTTTTGGCCTTTTTCGATCTTACTAATGTATTTTATAGGACAGTTATTTAACACCAACGCCTCTTCTATTTGTTTTATTTCATCATTTAGGTCTTTTCTTGTGTTACTTAGTGCTATTGCTCGGTCTGTTAGACACTTAACTAAGCCTACCTGGCATCCAAATATGTAGTCTTCACCGTTAGTTCAATACTGGGTAGGTCATTATGAATTTAGAGCAAAATCAACAGCTACGCCTTCGCTCCCTACTGAAGATGAGAGGATTAACAAAGGATTAGGCAACAAAGAACCCTGTGCAGTGCGACGAACCAACCACCAAGAGCCTACCACCCAAGAAATATGCAGATGTTAATAGAGATGGATCAAACACACATGTCAAGGAGACAACCTTGAGTGGCATCACACGCACCAGGCACAACCTCAAGTGCAACCTGAACGCGACCAACGACGATGAGTTGGACTTCCGAGGGTGAAACTGTGCGGAGATCGTCTGGGAAGGTAAACATGGAGTCAGCTTAAAAAGAACAGCAGAGAAGAGGATGGATGAAATGGAGATGTGCTTTTGAATCTCTGCGTTCCATTTGAAAACCAAAGGAATAATAGTAGTGAGGTGAGAGCTGACTGCTAGCCAAAGTCGGTAGACAGTAATTGACGTCAATGTTTATGTCCCCAATATTGGTGGTGAGAAAATGAGAACAAACTTTTTGCGTAGGCGGATACAGTTAGCATATAGATGAACTGACACAGCCACAAAGAGATGCAAGGTTAACTTTCTGTGAGAAACAACCAATCAAAAGACTGTGTTTGTTTGCTTAAAATAATCTACAATAAATGTACATTAAAATCTATAAATATGTGTTGATTTTCCTTAGTAAACGATCTATTGCCGGGCCCTTGTCTTCTGTTGTTACATTAGTAGTAATAATATAATAGTGGACCAAAATCAACAGAAATGACAATGACAACTCACTCTGTGGTGAATTAAAAGTTGAATATGTCGTTAAACCATCATATTTAGAATTGATTGAATTAAGCGGTAATGGTTGAAATGACATAGAACGTTGTTTATCATCAATATTATCATCAGTGATTTTTGTATTACTTGCACTGTTGCTTGGTGTATTCGGTACACCAGCACGACTTTGAACTCCAGGTAGTGGTGCGTCAAACAATGCTCGAGTAAAACTTGGCGTAGCTAAATTCTGCCAATGTTGTAAAACATTGGAACCATCCAATGGTTTTATAAGTTTTAAGCGTTGAGGTAATCTATAAGAAATGTAAAAAACAAATATTAATTAGTTTATATATATATACATATATTTAAAGCATGCATTATATAAGATATTTTGGCCGTTTTATTGCTCATTCGTCGACTTTGGCAAAGCTTGTAATCGTAGTTGACAAAACAAAGTTTAATGAAACTTTATTTCTGGATACACTCTGTGGTTGTGCCACTGATAAGATTTATGAGTAGTATATAAAGAGACGTTCATCGGCATACCAAAATATCAATTAGCGGAGAGATAGATTTGACGTTAAAGAGTACAAATGAACCAGTATTTCGGCAATATATGGGATGCACAAAAAGAAGACTCAGAAACACAATAGGAAGGGCAGAAGTAGCACAACACGGAAGATCCGTGCAGATTCCGGAACATAGTCATTCCTACCGGCGTCCAACAATCATTATTTTACTTGACCTAAAGGCGGAATTCGATTCTGTCGACCAAGAGGTACACTCTGGTGATGCTTGACTGTAAAAGGAATGCCGAGAAAATACATTGCACTGATCAAGGCACTCACTCTACTGGAACTCATGCAGCCAGCCAGGTGAGAGCTTAGGACAAGTTATCATCTGAAGTGGTGACAACTAGTGGTATCCGTAAGGGATGCACACTATCCCCATTTCTGTTTAATTTCATCATAGATGTACTAATGGACTTAACCCTAACTGATTTCAGAGACTCAGGGATTGACTTGTTACCAGGGAATAATCTCGTTGACTTAGAATATGCAGATGATATAGTCCTTCTAGGCGAGGACGCTGACAAAATGCAGACTCTTCTGAACACCTTGAGAAGCTGCAATCTACGAATGTTTGGCATGCGATTCGCTCCCACCAAATGTAAGATGATCCTACAGGACTGGACTACATTGACTCCTAGCTTGAAGACAGAGGGGAGAGTTGCATTAGCAAACGCCAAAGGGTTGATGGCTGACGAAATCTCAGAAGCGATACAGAGGTCTAGTTTCGCATATGTCAGTTTACGCCGTCTCTGGCGTAGACGTGATATCCGGCTGATTATCAACCAAAGAGCGTGTGTACTGCTCATCAGTCCGCTCCTTCCTCCCTTATGGCTAGCTATGAGACCTGGCCATTGAGAGTGGAGGACATGAAAAGACTAGCTGTCTTTGATCATAGGTGTCTGCGTTCTATCTCCCGCGTGAAGTGGTATAATAGGATGAGCAATATTGAGGTTTGGCATTGGTCGAGTGCTAGGTAAGGAGGAGCGGAAGTCAATCGACAAGGTTGTGAAGTTACATCGACTGAGATGGTTAGGACATGTGTTACGTATGCCTAGTCATCGCCTTCCTCTACAATGGGCAATGTTAGCTGACAAAGAGTCAGGCTGGAAAAGAGCTAGCGGCGGTCAAACCAAAACATGGCACCAGTCAATGAAATCTACAACAGTTAGTTTAAGCCACGTAGTAAGATGTAGACTTCTCGGTTGGAGTCCTCGGGATGGTAAAAACCAGTGGCTGGAGACAATCGATGATATGGATGAAAATCGTTCTCGGTGATGGCGCAGATGCATTCCACTCCTTGTGACTTATGATTTCCAATGAAACTGTTTTGTTCTTCGTTATTACTATACCTTTGTCTCATATCCCTGTCTACTGTCTCTATTATGCACTTCTTCTACTTTCTTCTCTTGCTTTGTGTGCGTTAAGGAGGGAGTGTGGCGACTTGAACTGCAGCACATCGGTGCAAAGTTCTATGTCGAAAACAGACAGACAGACAGACAGCAAATAGTGATTTGGAGATAAGGTGTACACAATTTTGTAATATAGCTGTACCAAATTCTAAATAAACATTCCTTTACTAAGTCTCTTGTCTCCTACCCCGTACAACTACATCTGAGGAAAAACGAGAGCCTGAAGAGCATTTACACTTCTATGACAAACAAAATGCTGGTATATTTATAATCAACGGGTAGCAGTTCAACATTACAAAATCTCAGATTAGGTGAAATAGTAATCGGTGCACAACAAAAAACTGCTAGCACAACATAATACCATTCCCATAACCTCATTCTATTAATTACTTAAGAGTGGTGATAACTGTATGGACCAATATGTTATTCAGGCTAATTCTCGTGTGATAATCACACGAAGAATTGTTTTTAATTTCTAGTAAACTCATCAACCATGGGAATATTATCGAATTCCCATGTAACAGTATAATACAGAGGTACTTGATAGCAGAATGGTTTATTTGGTAAATTTGATGTACAATGTACAATTCTAATTTTGTGAAAGTTATATGTATTCTGCTTGTTTTGCCTCTCTTTCACACTTTCTACATATTATTTGCCAAAGATATCTCATTTCTCATTGTTGCAACTTAAACCGTCCTAACCTATTCAAGATTCCTGTGAAAGATGTCACACACACACACGAAGTGTAATATTTATAAATCCTTGTCAGTAGTACTCTCTGACAATGGACAACTTTGTACACAAATCCCAATTGTTTTGTCCTAGTTTGGGACTCTTCAACAGTGGACTCCACCCACCAAGGATAGAAACCACGACCTACAAGGTTATGAGACCAAGTTGCTTTGACCAATCAACCACTTAGGCCGGAATTTAATATCCTTGTATGAATTCTACCTTCTGACAAGAAAAAACCATAATCTAAGTTATAATCTCCAGCTCTTTAATGACTGCTCGACAGATGTCCTGTAGCTGTAGTGAGAAGTTAGAACCAGAGGAGTTCATCGTATGTCAAGGTGAAGTGAATACTCATCAAAGGCACTGGTTAGGAAAGCACTATATCACCAGGTGACGAGGTTAGAATACATGTGTCGGTCATTTAGTTCTGGTCCAAGCGGTTGAATGGTCAATAAGGTTTTCCTCGTAGCCTGAAGGTCATGGGCTCGATCCCAGTTCTAAAGAGTCCGAAAATAGGACGAAACAGTTTTCGAATTCTCCCTGGTTTTCATCAATGATCTCTCTAACTGATGCTGATCAGTGATTAAATCTAAAATTTGCAATTAAAGTAGCAGACTGAGACAGATGTGAGGACTAGAACATTTTGACAGCACGGTAAGACGACATAAAAATTATGGGTGGAACACATGTCAAACATAATGATAGATGAGGCATATACGTGCAAATGTGTATATTATATCAGAATTTCAGAAACGTACTGTACAATTAAATTATATCTCACGGACAAATTATATCATCTTATAGTACTGAAGACGAATAATAAGTAGTGCTGTTGCGAAATATCTTAAGTTTCTTTGTTAGCTGATATTTCCTACATCTTAAGTTGGAAACCAAGCTGAAAACACTGAATGATAAAGTCTATTATTATTATTATAATAAAAATGGAGATATGGCTTGTTGGCTTATGCAGAACTCAACCTTTAGCCAAATGCGTCCCGGGTTTGCATCTCGCCTCATCAACTTAAGCCTGGGTAGCTGAGTAAATTCATCAACCTCCCCGCCTCACCACCACTACAATAACAACAAAATGTGTGGCTCATAGACTAGTTCATGAGAAATGTATACCTGTGAACTGAGTTTTAACTGTTCTTATCATACATATTTGAATGATATCGTATTTATGTGAAACAGTCCTTCTTAATCAAATGAACAACATACAATAGAGGTTATGATGGGTCAATAAAACGATTTGTTTATAAGAAGCTCATATCGTTGGTGAAACATTAAAACTGACCCAGTTTTTTCTGTTGATTTCAGTGTAAGTGTAATTCAGCTAAATGTTCCTTATGACATTGCGCTTCAGGCCGTCATGTGGAACTCGAATGGGAAATGACGGGTGGGGCGTGGATCCGGGGAAACATATAGGAGGTCGTGGGAGGAGGAGATGAGAAACTATCGGAAATCGCGTAACCAGCCAAAGAGGACCGCAGAAAATAGAAAAAAGCGGAAACGTGTTACTGAAGCCCTATTTTTCACTCGAAACCTTAGGGAATAACAATAATCAATAATAAATGTTCGTCTAGAGGGTTTCAAAATATGTGTACATTGGGTACTATGCTTCCGACCTACATTGACTTGATAGTCGTATAAGGAGATGTAGACTGCCAACCTAGGGTCCTTGAGACTCTAAAAATCATCAATGGCTGGAGACTGTTGGTTACATCACTCAAAATCCTTCACCATAATCTAAATGCATTCACTCAATGTGATTTGGCTGGATGTATCAAATTTATTTATTCTTTCTCACATGCATTTTCCTTCGAACTAATTTCTTTGATTATGCTTCCTACAACTGTGTATTTTTCTTAAGTATGGAAACTTGAGCTGTCACTCTCTTTTCAAAAGTCCTACACGTCGAAAATTGCTGTTCTACCCTACTACATGAAGTATTCGAAAGAAAAGACATCTACAGTCAAAGATCTGAAATTTGTTGATGTCAGTTACTTACTCAAATGTCTGGTCGTGTAATCGTAGGGTAAGAGGCAAAGAAAACTGCTCCATGAAGTATATCAAACCCTCTAAAAATTAACCTGATGTCTTCTCCGACCCCCTACCCACGCTCCACTGAAATGTCACTCAACAGTTTGATTACAATTCCATGTAGGGCTAATGATACTACCTAGCTGCCCAAACCTCAGTAGGTGGAGTGAGGGTTCGAACCAGTGACCCTAGATCAATTAGCAACAGATAGCCTCCCTCTCTCTCTGAATTATATAAAACTATATCGAAGATATGCGAAACAACGCTTACATGAATAAATAATAATAATAGTAATAATATGAAACCTACTTATAGTATAACTGATTAGTTCCCACTACATCTGGATCACAGGATAGTAGGCTATCATCAAAACTATTTTTATACTTTATATTATAATCATGACTTGAAAGATATCCTTTCTCAGAGACATTGGATGAGATATCACAGCAGCCTAACCAACTATGTCGTTTCTCAGATTCCAATAAATGCTCCTGATTTGATCTGTTTTGATAATACTGATGTTGTTGTTGTTGATAACCTCCTGAACCCGGTCTGTGTAATAGAAAAGAACAAAGAAAAAATGCAAAATACAAAAGGATGCTTAGTGTAAGTGTAGAAATCGCGCATTCTGGTAAAATATAATTCCATATATGAGATAGGTTTATTTAGTATAGCTAACATACAGTGAGTGATACAGTAATTAATAACTGGATGACGTTTCGAGCACAACTTATCACTCATAATCACATCAGTGTATCCCCACGACTTATTAACTTGCTCTTTTTTTGAGACTCTTAGTCAAACTCATCGATATACATGTCATTGTGGCGTGTGCTACTGATAAGATTTATCAGTAGTATGAAAAGAAACCTTCATCGGCAAAATCAAGTAGCAGGGAAATAAATTTGATGTCAGAGAAAGCAAATGTGATTATTCAGCGTTGTGGAGGAACATGGGAGACGTGAAAGGAACACAAAGAAACACAATATGAAGGAAGGCGAGAAGTAGCCCAACACGGAAGATCTGTGCAAATGGTGCCTTGAAGATAAGGTGTACATAGTTTTCAAATAAACATCCCTTACCAAGTCTCTGGTCTTCTACCATTACACCACTACAGGTATGTTGGGAGGAGGATCAGTGCTTCAAGCAATTCACTGATATGCCTCTCCATTGAACAAAATAATCTAAACGTAGCTAATTTCATTTTTTGTGAAGGGTTAAAGATCGCATTCAATACAGACTAATAAAGGCTGTAAAAAATAATGCAATCCTGAGAGATGTTTTAAAGTACAAATGGTTTTGACTTAAAAAGCATATATAAATACTATGAAGGTCGGGTGTGAGGAGAAATATTCGCAGCTAATGACATTGACTAGTGGTCATGCTATATCGTGAATTGGCAGTAGTTAGAGTTCATGGGTTAGCCAACGGATCGCGTCCCAATGGCTTAACGGTCAACGAGCGCGCTTTGTAATCAGAAGGTCCTGTGTCCGAACCCCAGTAGGTGTGCGTACTAATGAAGAGTCTCCAACTAGGGAGAAACAGCCTTCCAGCACTTCCAGGTTTTTCAGATGTTTCAAGTGTGGATATTTGAAAATCCACTATTATTTACTCAGTTGTTCAGCCTTATATCTGAGAGAGGTTAATTTCGTGCCAACTTTGTGTATTTCTTCTCCTTTTTCTTTTAAACAGAGTTTACTGAGCTATTCTTCTGATGACTTCCTTTTTCTTGTTGCGGCCGGGACGCGTACACAAAGATATTTAGGAATTATTGCATTGTAACTGCAGAAGATAAGACAGCTGGTAGCAGACTTTTTGGCGAAGTTAAAGTGTCATAGCCAAAGTCAAGGTCTTTCAAAAGTTGACCTTCAAGAACCAATCAGACACAGGGAATGTTATGAAATGTCATTCCAAATCAAATCATGCCTGTCTTTTCGGACTTGGTGAAGATAGATGCAGTATTCTATTTAAATACTAGGTACTTTTTCTGCAAATCTATACTTTTAGGTAGGTGTATGGCTTGTAAGATTAGGGTTTAGGGTTAGGAGTAGGTTGGAGAATAATGTAAGAAATACCAATGGATTTGAAGTTACCACGACCTAAAGTTACCTAGGTTAATGGGTATATGGCGCATGGGACGATTTCTCTATAGATCATCTCTGTATTGACTGGAAGACATTTTTACAACACATAAACTACATAAACTACAACTATGCAGGGTAATATCAAGTTTGCAATATTTCCTAGTATGTTTCTTCAACGAATATGCGACTTTTTTGCATCTGAGTTCTGATTGGTTGTCCAAGGTCACCATGGTTTTGGCTAAGACAGTTTAACTTTGCCGAGTTTTTCTTATTGAGGAAAACACACTTATACACTTTTAACCACGTTAAAATCCGACTAGGTCAGAAGATTATAAATTGTTCTGATTGGTCGGAGTTTGGCCCGAGGTTAAACCGATGAGACGAAAAGTCTTTCAATGAGGTTGTTTCATGTCCACAACGTAAACTAAATCCACAGATTTGAGGAATAAACACTTCTACTCTTGTAGCTATTGAATTAAAAAGGTCAATTTCAAGTTTGGTTGCTTCCTGTCAGTCTGCGACTACATACTACTTAAAAATCTTGTCGGTAGTAAACGCCACACTTTGAGTTTACTGAATAGGTAGTTTTTGAACAGGAAGATCATAAATAGAATAAAATTCCACATTAAATAAATTTATTTGATATAGCTAATACACAGGGATACAGTATTGATCACTGAATGACGTTATGGGCACAATCTACTACTTTGATCGGACACTAGTAACTAGTGTGATGTGTCTAGTCCTTTCTTTAGTACAGACTGAATTCTATCAGTTAGGTTTGCAATGTGACCACCATTCTAGGTAGCTCGTCATCACAGTGCACATTGATTTGATGATATTAGATGGTTGGAGGTAATTGGCAGGATGCCTTGGGCCTAGGTTTCATGCTGGTTGGCACTCACCAGTCAGCAAGGCGTATGCGCAACCTTAAAGGAACTCATGTCCCTTCTGAGATTCGAACCCGCGTCACCCAGGTTGCAGATACGTCTTGCTGACTGGTGAGTGCCAACTAACACGAAACCTAGGTCCAAAGCTTCCTGCAGATTACCTTCAACCATCTAACAGAATCTACTAATAGTGTTCATAATCAAAGGATGTCTGTCTGCCTATGAGATGGGACGCTAAACAAAACACAGGTGAAAGAAAGAACTTTGAAAGAGTGGCAATACAAATTATTAAAGACAGACATAAATAACTAGTTAACTAGACTTTAGCATCTTCTAACTGTTAACATTTCCAATTAAGTATTAGATACTCCAAATTATGTTAAAAACGAAAACCACTTGAGAGCAGAAAAATTCCAAAACAACTTGAAACTAGGCAAAGAATACTTCATTTTCAAGAGTATATCAAACAAATAATAATAATAATGACTGACTGACCGACTAGTTTCATCGTAGAACTTTGCACATGTAGGTATGCAGCAGTTCGAGTTGCCGCACTCTCTCTCTCTCTCTCAATGTAGCGCACAAAGCAACACAAGAGAGTAAAGACAGATTCAAATAAGAGAGAGATATAATAAACAGAAATATGAGGGAAAAAGAGTAGAAATATGGGAGAACAATAGAATCTTATTGAATATTATAAATCACAAAGAGTGAATGCATCTGCGCCACCATGCAGAACGAGGATTTTGGGTCATATCACCAGCTGTTTCCAGCCTTCACTGATTTTTATCATCCCGAGGACCCTGACCAGACTACAGTCTACACCTTCCTATGTGACTGGCTGCCTGGCTTAAACTAACTTTAGTGGATTTCATTGACTGATGAAGCTACGTTTTCGTTGGACCACCACTAGCCAACTCTTTTTCAACCCGATCCATCTTATGTTAGCTAGCATTGACAGTCGAGGAAGGCGATGGCTAGGCATAATAGTAATAACAATATGCGTAACAGGAGGAGATTTGTTTCGATAGCATTGTAAAAACAAAACAATAGCATAAAGTTCATGCATACATACCTTCGTCCAACATCCAGTGAGTGGATAGGACTATTATTTTGATTAGCCAGTAGTCTGCCTGCATAAGGACTTCCAGAATCAGAAACTTGTTCACTTCCACCGGATCTATGTTTACGAAGATTTTCTGATGGTTCTGTGAAGAAATACCGAAAAAGAAAAAAACCGCAAACAGACAGGATATCATCATTCAATAATCAGTATTGCACAACAAAAAAAGTTGAATTAGACCTACTGGACTAATTCCCAGAGAAATCTCATTATACATCATCTCTGGCGTAGAAATAATATCCGTATATTGGTCAAATGACACATGTATATACCGGGCGGAAATTCTCTGTCTTTCTACATAGCTACGATACATCGTCATTGAAAGTGGAAGCTATAAAAAGGCTAGCTGTCTTTGATCATAGATATTTGTGTTCTGTCTCTCCCATTTTAAGTGGTACAATATGTTCAGTAATGGTAAGGTTAGGTGTAGACTATTATGTCAGAAGGGCAAATCAATCGATGAGATGGTTGGGATATGTGTTGCGAATGCCAAACCACTTCTATTCTCAACAAGACATATTAATTGGTTGGAATAAAGTCAGGGGTAGTCAAATCAAAATCTGGAGTGAATCCATGAAGTGTTCGACAGTTGATTTGAACCATGTAGAAAGGTGTAGACCACCTACCTGGTTAGGATATTCGAGATGCTAACAGTCAATGACTTGAGACGACTGAGGATATGGTTAGAATCGTTTTCAAATGGCGCAAACGCATTCACTACTGGGAATTTCCTTGAGAGACTCATCAACTCCACATTATCCACCATGTTATTAATCCTACTAGAATACATTTCTGCCCATCATGGTTCTTCTGAATTTTTCATCACTCCTTTCTCTATCTTTGTGTATTACATGAAGCGTGACAACTTGAACGGCTGTACTGTTATGTAAAATTCTATGTTGAAACTTAGTCAGTCAGACAGTCATTGATTTAGCTGATATACAAGTGTTAAGTGTAGCAGATCGACATGAAGAGTTGGATCTAAATTTCATACTTATTAGGATATGATCAACCAGGTGGGTATAACAACCCCTTAAGACTTGGACTTCGCGGACGATATATGTCTGATTTCCCACAAACTGGAAGATATGCAAGCGAAAAGCAACAAGTTGGCAGAAGAAGCATCCAGCGAAGATAGAACTTCCTTCAGGTGAACATAGAGAAAACAGAGGTGATGAAGATTCCTGGCCAACACCACCACCAACAGCAACAACAACCACAGACAACAATCAGCATAAATGGAAGGAACCTGAAAGAAACAACCTCTTTTACCAACCTGGGAAGCATCGTTTCAACTACAGGCCGACGGAACTGACGAGGATATCAAAGCAAGAATCGGAAAAGCAAGGCAAGCTTTCAATACTCTCAAGTCTGGTTGGAGGTCAACAGCACTCAGCATCAAAAATAAGATCCGGATTTTCAACTCCAATGTGAATTAAGTCAGTGCTACTATACGGATCAGAGACTTGGCGCGTCATAAAGAGCACCTCAAACAAACTACACACCTTCATCAACAGCTGTCATCGCTCAATACTACTCAAGATCAGATGGCCGGTCAGAAAAGATCAGCAACAGAGATCTCTGGCAATAAGCGAACCAACCAGGAACCGATTGTGAAACAAATAGGCAGGAAGAAATGGAGTTGGATTAGCCATACTCTGAGGAAACAAACCATCAAGTGACATCACTAGATAAGCCATTGCTCGAGTGGAACCCAAAGGGGAAGCGGCGAGTTGGTCGTCAGTGCAAGGGTGACTTGGAGGAGGTCATGAGCCAGGTGAAAACTCTAGCAGAGAACCGAACGCAATGGAGACGCACGGCTGAAGCCCTATGTTCCTGTAGGAATTAAAGGAAACAATAATAATAATAATATTTCAATACCAAAGTTAGGAGCTTCATCAATACGCTATTTTGGTTTGTGATTATACAATTTCAAAATAAACTTTATCGAGTGAAAGTAGGGCATTGAAAAGAATTTTATAAACTCTATAAATAATATACAATGCGAGAAAAGTAAAAAAAATACCTGATCCACTGACAAAACCACTACTGGAAACTGTATCTTCCTGTCCAGATTCCGGTAGCAGTATATTATGATTATTATCAATTGATGAAGTTGGCTGACTACTACTCGGTGTACGCGTGGATCGAACTTGTTCCATAGCACGAAATAAATGTTTTCTATTAATAATAATAATAACAATAACAATGAAATGAAATGCAACAAAATTTACTGTACAGTACGAAAATATACACTAAACTCAGTATGATTGTTGAAACAAATGTTTGAAGAACACATAACTTAATGAAGAACTCGATCATGCATATGCATATAATTCTCTGCAAAGATGGAGATGGATCGGACACACGTTGAGGAGACCGTCGGGTGACATGGCACACCAGGTCATAGCTCAAGTGGCAGACGATGAGGTGTACTTGTGCTTGGGGGGTGATATGGATTAGATGAGATCTTATAGGCAGGCAACCATGCATCCAGTTGAAGAGGACTGCAGAGAACAAGAAAAAGTGGAAATATGCTGTTGAAACCATTTGCTCCACTCGGAACCCAAGGGAATAATAATAGTCGGCAGTATAACACTCAGGGACATTACTAATCTAAGGAGTTTTTAAATACGGTATAGCACTATACTGTATCATATTTCAGTGAGAGCTGGCTGCTAGCCAAATTGGTAGATAGTAATTTACGTCAGTGTTTAAGTCCTCAATATTGGTCGTGAGAAAAATATGAACAAAGACTGATTCAACAACCAACCACAGCAGACTTTGCGTAGGCGAATACAGTTAGCATATAGATGATCTGACATTCAAGCAACAGCCAAAAAGAGATGGAAGATTAACTTTCAGTGAGAAACAACCAATCAGAAGACTGTGTTTTTCTCCTAACAGCAATCTATAATAATGTACATGAAAAGCTATAAATATGTGTTGATTTCCTTAATAAACGATCTTTTGCCTGGTCCTTGTCTTTTGTTGTTACAATATTAATTAATTTAATACGGTATACTGAACGCTAGAGAATCTTACGAAGGTGACTGTCATCATCATCATGAGTAATGCCCAGTGAAACTGATGCTCTGATTGAAACAGATGAGTCTTATCGCCTAGCTATTAGTGCACCGGATTAGGAAATCAAAGACCACTGGATGGAATCATGATGTGAACCAGATTTTCTGTTCACTTTTAATCACAACTCACTCATTTGCAGCATCACAATAGAAGTTTGCAAACCCAAACTTATCTCATCGATCATTAACACTATATTTTTCGCGCATGGATGATTTATGTTTAATGTCACACAAACTCGAAGACAGACTGACAGAAGAGGCTGGGAGGCAGAGAAGACACGACTGTAGGTGAACACAAAGACAACAACAACAAGTACCTCTTCAACTATGTCCACGATTGCTCATAACCTCTCCTCTCCTCCTCCTCGCCACACGACCTCCTCCATGTCACCGTCGCACCGACGACGCACCCGTCGCTTCCCATTTGGATTCCACTCGAGCGATAGCCTGCATTGCGCGCGATATCATTCGACGGCCACCTTAATAAATGCCTCGCCTAGTTTACTAGACCGCTAGTTATCTAGACGGTCCCAAGCCCGGGTAAAAAGGGAGTGTTAGGTATAAGGTTATCGACCGTACCCCACAAAACTAATCAAACTGCTACAGAAACTTCAACCAAGAACCTATCGCCTAACAAATATGCCGAAGTAAAAAGGAGATGGATAATTGAACAAACACACTGAGGAGACCGTTGACTAACTTCACGCATCAGGCAGAACTTACAGTCTAGATATGATGGAGAAGATTTGTAGCTCAGGTGGATGATTTTGATGTGATTGTGTTCTCTGAGCTGGATAGTAGTTAATTTGCGAAGCTTTCATCGCCCTACTAGGCGACATCTTCAGCGCATACTTCAGAACTTAAAGTCCAACCTAAATGCAAAACAATGAGTTGGGGATATGGATTCGAGGATCACATGGAGGAGATAGTGTGAAGAGGAAATCACACCTTACAGGCAATCGTAGAGACAGCTAGTAAAGCGACCACGGAGTACAGGGTGAAATAGAGATGTGTTGGCTGAAATCGTATGTTCCACTTGGAGAACACAAGGGATGTGTGTATGTGTATAGCTATTCCTAAGTATAGTTATTTAGCATCACTGGCATATCCAGTACCTAATCTGAGCATTATTTACTGACTGGCATAGCCCTTCATTCATTTCAAATCCGAATAATTTGCTTAGACAAGCCCTCGAGTGGAACCCGAAAAAGAAGCGGAGAGTTGGTCGTCAGTGCAAGGGTGACTTGGAGGAGGTCATGTGAAGAGGAGATGAAAACGTGTGGGCAGACTTGGAGCCAGGTGAAGACTCTAGCAGAGAACCGAACGCAATGGAGACGCACGGTTGAAGCCCTATGTTCCTCTAGGAATTAAAGGAAACAATAGTAATAATAATAAGTGACCACTGGATAAAACTTCTAAAAACAAAATAAATAAATTCTTAAGCGGAAAATTCACTTACACATTATCAGCAGCATATTCTTTCATTTTTGTATGCGCTAAATCTGCAGCCAGTGTAGTTTCTAAATTACCTGAACCAGGATGTTGTGCGGCCAGCATATCCAGTGAAGATGAACTGCCATCATCATCATCACTAATTTCTTGATGAGATGATGAAGGATTATAACAGGATGTAGGATCTGGATCGGATTGAGTAGGTGTTATAGCAATTCCACTTAAATAATTCGATGACAATGATGGTGTATGATGCCAAGTTGGACTATTCATGATAGATGTGTTAGATATTAGGGAACCAGGACGAAAATAGCTACGACGAGAACGTTTCCGTAGGGCACGAATCTCCGACTAAAGCATCAATAAACACACACAAAATTAGCAACAGGAAATTGAATATATGAAAAGCTCAGTAGATATCTTTATACAGATGACTGTTAATTTTCAAGTATTGGTTTTGTAAGGATTTTTGTTTGATTGCATGGAGGATTTCATCATGAGCTGACATCAGTTAGAGAACCACTGGAAAACCTGGGAGTACTGGACAGCTGCTTCGTCCTAGTTTGGGACCAGTAGGGTACAGCAGGTTGAAGATGAGGTAGTGACTCATCGAAGAAGACATTGCGAAATGGTCGCGCTATGTTGTGAATTGGCAGAAGTTAGAATTCATGCACTGGCAAGTGGCTCAATGGTCTACGAGCTCGCCATGTAACCGGAAGGTCCTGGGTTCCAACCCTGGCGGTGGATGCGTACTGATGAAGAGTCCCAAACGAGGACGAAATAGTATATAATATAGTGCATAGTATAGTATATAGTATAATGAACAAAGGTATGATGATTAATCTCCAACCCCCTGACTGCATCCGATTACCTTTTAGAAGAACTGTAGTTCTTTCCTACTCTACTAAAAAATTGTGTCTCAGTGCATACATTACAATCGCAGAGTAGTTTTGTTTTTTTAAAGTTAGTCATTTTTAGGTGCATTCCAATGTGTTGACAACCTGATCCAGATCACCTGATTTGACCTAGATACTTAACTTCACAGTCGATGAAAGGTATGTAGTAGATTAGATGATAGTTTTAAAATTTGGTCAACACAGTCCTTTAGTTTACATAGTTTCTCACTGATTTAGTAGTCGCATAGGCTGAAGTATTCCACTAATATCTGAGTGATAAAATACACTCTCAGTTTAATAAGAGAACCGCAGAGTTCCAGGTGGAAGATAGGACTTCCCTAGAACATCTACATTTATCTACAATCTTTTTCAGCTTGCTCCACAGTTGCCTATAGGCTATCGTTTCTTCTTCACACGATCCCTCTCAGACAAGTGCCCAACTTATTTTTTCCCATTTGGCTTCCATTTGAGGTCCTGTCTGGTGCGTGTGATCTCACTACTCAACGGTCTTCGCAATGCATGTCCAATCCATTTACATTTTCTTCTGAATATCTCATAGGTGATTGATTCTTGGCTGGTTCGCAGCCTGTCAAAACTCCTTGTTACTAGTCCTTTTGAGTAGGTATATCTCATCTTTACGATATCGAGCGAAGGTAATTGTTGATAAAAGTTTGCACCAGGCTGCTGAGAATGCTTTTCATAAAGCACCAAGTGTACAGATTTGACTTTAGTGTTGAAGATGCAAATTTCGTCCCTTACGCTAAGTGCAGAGCGTAGAGATTACTTTTTATAAAATTATGATGTATTAAATTATTTGCAGATTACGAATTCAGAGACGATAATTCACTCAAACAAAACAAATAGATAAATTCAGTTTAATGCATAAAATTATCAATCGGTTACACGTCTTATTAATTTGTGATATCAGTTAGTCTGTATTCCATCCATTTGTGGTGAGAAAATCCCATTGAAGTAAGCCATAAATAGGAAAGGGAGGTCGCAAAAAGAATAAGCTAAACAAACGCTCAGAAGACAGTCAAGTGATATCGCAGGCTAGACAGAACCTCAAGTGGAACTCGAATTAACGGATATTTCCGGGAGTGACATGGAGAAACATGTATGAGGAGGAATTAAAAGATTAATGATGATCGTGGAGCTAGCTAACTGCGCATGCCTAACCATCGCCTCCCCCGACAGGCATTACTAGCTGATATATGTGCAGGTTGGAAAAGAGTAAGCGGTGGCCAAACAAAAACATGGCATCAATCCATGAAATCCCTGACAGTTAAACTGAGTCAGGTAGGGAGATGCAGACTTCCGGGTTGGGGCCCTCAGGACTCTAAGAATCAATGGCTGGAGACAATAGGTGACATGGCTCAAAATCGTTGTCAATGGCGCAGATGTATCCAGTCTCTGTAATCTTTCATATTCCTTTCTACCATTACTCATTCTGTTTCACTCTTATACTTGTCAAAACTCTATTGATTCTCTTCACTCATTTTCTTGTGTGCTATTTGGAAGGTGGCAACTCGAACTGCTGCACTTCGGTTCCAAGTTCTATGTTGAATCCAGACAGACAGACAGGAGCTAGCTAAGGACAACTGTAGAAAACTGACTGAAATGGAGGTGTGCTTCTGAAGCCCTATGCTCATGCTCCACTCGGAACCACAGAGAATAGTAATTATATATATGATATAATGAAGGTAATCTAGTTAACAATCAATCGTTCCACTAAAATACCCCAATGGTACAATAATTATGTAATTGCAATGCACGCAAGACATAGTTAATCCACAATTAAACAACAACAAAAAAAACAACAAGCCTACAAAACACACCCTTGAAATACCTACACACCAAAATGTTCAGAGAAACATGAAACAAATGTAAATCGAAACTTATCAAGTACAAAAACACAAAGTCAACAGAGAGAAAAAATACCATGTCATGTAACTTTGTCAAATAAATTTAATAAAATTGGTGAGATTTAATAAACTGCTCTCTTCAGAATGCCACGTATATAATTGTACATCAGTTGAACGGTCAAAGTATTCATGTAATTTGATCTCAAGCACTCGAGACAGCTGTTTTATGTTCCAGACTATTAGCTACACTTAGTGTTGTATCAGGTCTGATGAAAACATCCAGTTGGCCGTGGTAAAGTGAGACGAGAAGGGTTCGAACCCGGGACCTAGTGGGTACAGGTTGAGTATTTAAGTTAATAAGCTACATCTCTACCAGACAAAACACGCATTAAGGTAGATGATTTACCACAGTAAGACCTTTGAACAAGTCATAACTTGTTGTTAAAATAAGACTATCAGAGAAAAACTATTACATAATAAAAGTTAATATGTAATTTCAAGTTTGTTTCCATATCTTTTTATCGATTATGCTAATGTAATCCACATTAGATTAAAAAATATAGCTCTATCTCTGAATTAGCGAATGATGATAATCCATTGGTAAAATTAGACCAATGGTCTACTGGGGATTAAGTTTTATGGACAGAAAAAGTCTCTCTCGTCAACTTAGGCAAAGTTTTGCAGAAAAATCGATACTGAGTAAATAGGATTGGCTGGAAGTTTGTCAAATAACTGGGAAACCAGTTGAAAAGAATACCTGACTGAATGAATGTTATTCCCACTAGAATAGAAGACTCGAAAATCCTTGATTTCCAACCAAGTACACTGTGTTCAGCCGCAGCTCAGTAATAAAATCCATCGTCAGTTTGATAAGGCGTTCAGAGTGCAATATACGGATTCAGGCTTGAAACCTTGAAGTTTCAGTAGCTGTGTTTCTTTTGCACGATGGGATTGTCAGCTTCATGACACCTAACCGTCTCTGTTTTATGCGCTTAGTATCACCTAGCAAACTGAGGAGTCCAACTCCGGAACATATGCATAGTTGGTTGGCGACCAAATGGACATTAACAACTAAATAATTTTATACAGTATAAATGACTGATACCTTTATAATCTGTGAAGATATAAATCATGCCTCAAACTATTTCAGATTATCTTCAACACTAACCGCTAATCGTGGAATGCAACCCATACAGCCTGGATGTGATTTTTCTGAGGTATTACGATTCAGAAGAGTATCCTGTTATCAAAATTCGTGAATGCAGTCATCAAGTTGAATCACAAACCTTTCCTACCAATGAGTTACAATGAACGCGAATTAGTTAGAAGACTGATCAAACTGTGGTGGTGTGATACAGATAATGGGTTCCAACGGAATATTATTCTCACAATAAGAATCATATTTTTGGTGTTAACGTCTGAATACTATTCCCACAGTTCAATACTGCATTAGAAACAGAATACTATGTACATTTGAACATTCTATTTCATGTCGTTTAATGTAAACCAAAATCACAAGCTTAGTAATTGGTTAAGGAATATAACACTAAATATAGCTGTTTGATCCCTTGAAAAGATACCTTGGCTTCCGTGTCTTGCCTTTTGCTGTTACAAAATGTGTAAAAGCCGTTGTTGTTTTTGTTTTTTTAAAAGGAAGCTGACCTCAACTTTCAAAAATGTTTAGGCAGACTTTATGCAAAGGATTTTATCAGCAAATACTTAATTTAGAACAACACCTTTAAGTGAACAATATTGTTGTTTTCAATTAGATCTCATCAGGCTTAACTCTAATATACATAACTTTACAAATAAAAATTCAAATATAAACCAATCATGGTGTTTCGCCAATAGGATAATAAGATGGTGAATATAAATTGTGCAATTAGTCATAATAGTAGTAAAAATGGTCTTATCATAACTATGTTGTCATTCTCTAGATGACGAATGACTGGGACGTAAACGAAGGATAAGCTAGACAATTTTGCCACATCTATGTGCATTTATCAATTCAACTGCACCTGCAGTGACAGTCATGTCGGGCGTACTACTAGACAGCTTAGCCAACGTGTTAGTGAACATCTCCCATCATCGTTTGGCAAAAACAATCCGTATCTCAATTTTGTCATATTTAATTGATAGTGCTCATGTAATGGAGAAAAAGAAAGCTTTCAGGGTAATTCATCGTACCCCACCGAATCTTTCTAATAGACTTCGTGTTCGTCTACTGCACACAGCTGAGGCGATAGGCATTCGAATTATTAAACCTAAACTAGACATTCAAAAGAAGTTCGTACAGCCATTATCCCTTGACATAACCAACTGATGACTTCTACACCACCCATTACTTATATTTTCAACCCCTGTCTTATCATCATCCGTTAATCTTATCACATCCTCATTAAAAACGTGTTTCATTTACTTCCCTTACAATCTAACATTACTGAATCGGTTCATTTGTTTTTACTAGCCTTTATTGACTACTTCTACCTGAACATTTGTTTGTTTATTCATGCTGTTTTTCACTATTCGTGTTATCACAGATTGCCTCACTTTTTCATCCTTATTATTGATAGTACCATCATTATTATCATTACTACTATTATGAATAATTACACAATTTATATTCACCATATTATTATCCCATAGACAAAACACCATGATTGGTTTATATTTGAATTTTTATTTGTAAACTTATGTGTATTAGAGTTAAGCCCGATGAGATCTAATTGAAACCACAATATTGTTCGCTTAAATGTGTTGTTCAAAATACTCAATTGTAAATAATGAGAAGAAATGGACTACAGTTCAGAGAAACGTTGTATTTTCTTATGTGGAATATCAGAAGAAGAAAAATGTTCTCCTTGCTGAAACCTATCCAACCAACAGATTCATTTCTCTGTATAATAATACCACTCGGAGTGTATGACACAACTGTCCTACACCATGGAGTTGAATCATACCATAATAATGTAGACAATGCAATCTCAATGATTCCTCCAGTATAATGATAAATAAATATAACTATAGAAGGGAGTGTTGTTAAGCATAAACCAGCATGTCAATTGTTATATAACACTACTCAGAACATAGAGTGAGAGAAAATGACAGCAAGAACGTACATAAAAGTTTGAAAAGAACAAAATAGTCGCTTATGTTTATTTTGTATTTCCCATTGACATTGTCAGCTCGTAGTATGGACGCTTCAAAGTTATCTGAGGATTAATATGATGTTACTTGGTGGTGGATCGTGACAGGAAGTTGAAGCCAGAATAGGCACTTCATTCAACCATGGGACTCACCATCATCTGGACGTAACTAGCTGTTCCTTGGGAGTGACTGTGTTCCTACTGAGAATTGAATTCAGCGCCAATCGTTTCAAACGCCAAGGCGTAATCCACTAGGCCTCTTAGCAACACTACCACTCACTCACTGAGAGTACTGCAGGTATATCCAGATAACAAATCCCAAATAGAAAGAAACGCGTGTCCTGAATACCACGACTACTCAGTCACCATCCAACAAATAAAAACAGAAAGTCAAGTCATTTTTCGCCGTGTATAATACCAGAGATATTGTGTTCAAGAAAAGTATGCCAAAGGAAATGGAGATGGATCGGACAAACGCTGAAGGAGACCTGTTAGGTGACATTGCGCGCCAGTCACAAGAGTAGGACACGATCGGTTGATTCAGGGTCCAGGGTGTAACATGGAGGAGATCGTGTGAGGAAGACATGGGGAGCCCATGGGACATACGTGGCGTCAGCTAAAGAGGGTTGCAGAAAACAGGATGTCCTGCTGAAGCCCTATGTTCCACTTGAAACATAATGGAATAATAATAATAAAACATCAGAGTAAAACGGAAAGGACGATTTCTTTTCCATCAGATAAATTAAACACAAACATCCACACAGACACACACACACACAATCAATCAATCAATCAAAACAAAAGACACATATATAAATCAGTTTATCCTCTTACTCTTGCTTCATTATACAGCGTTAAGCATTCATCGTATTTGTCACGTGAAGTCTTCAATTCACTTGTCAATAATGATTGTGATATTTGTGCTTCTTTCAGACGATTGACTAACATCTCATTTTCTGCTGTCAACTAAGGAAAAAAACAAAAAGAAAGGTAAAAATTAATAAATAACAAGTTTGAGTGTGTATGTGTGTTGGTGATTCGGTGAAGGTAGCAGGGCGGGGGTGAGGCAGCAATCAAAGATCATGTACTACTGATTAGTGCTTAACAGTAGTGTATGTGCTGTTAACCACCATCAGTGTACTGGTTGGCAAATCAATCGAATGTCTAAAAATCCATAACTAGAAGTTTCACATGTGATAGAAAAAAATTCAGAAAAACCAACAGATTAGAAAATAAAACCGAAAAAAACGATAAGTTGAATGACACTACTAGTGCTACTACAATTTCTACAATATATGGTGATTGTATGCATAAACTATGTATCTCAAAACAATATTATAAAAGAGTATTTATTATATTATAAATGCTTTATTTCAAACGAGTATTCTCTGTACACAGAGATAAGTGGTGTGAGAATATGTAAAACAATATGGAACAAAGATTGAAGAGAAATAAACACCGAAGATTACAACTTTGGTGTATTTTATTTGTTCAAGGTAGACACTGATTACTCTGATTTGCACTCAAATATTGTTTGTTTTACAAAAAACAAAAAAAGCAAAAAGTAATAGAGATCTGAGAGCTGAAATGTTATGCTGGCTTGCAGAAATTATTTTCCCAAGACATTTTGAATCCCTCAACACAAGATGAAACAACTCTGGATAACAGTTTTAAGTCGCTAAACTTGCATATATATCAAAAAAACCCAGTGGATACAAGTCTTTATGCTATTTTTCCTCCCCTGTGACAAAATTATGCCGGGGAAGATACTTGTATATTATTATTAGCATATTATTATTCTCTTGGGGGGGGGGGGTGGAACTTCGCATGATTAACTAGTTCACTAGCCGGTTCTACGCCAGTAAAAAGAGGGAAGGTTGGACGTGGAGCTAGTGACTCTATCCCACAAAAACCAACCTTCTAATAATCTCTACAGAAACTTCAAACCACAGAGAAAATTTTAAAAAAATGAACTTATTCTCCAATGAAATTGAAAGAAAGACTTCCCGAGGCAAGTTAGCCGATGTCATCTTCCAATGAAACAAGCAAAAACAAGCATGAGAACATGGAGTGGCCAGGCTGAGATGGCTGTTTAAGATTTCAAAAGAAACGGAAAGATACGGAATAGAAGTACTAGGAACCAGTGAGACGGGATGGATGGAATGGAAGTGGATTCTGCACTTCTTCTTCTAACTGCAGATTTAGTAATCCAATCTGGTCACCTAGGCAACAACAAACCACCAGTACACTGGTGCAGTGGCTACCATCGAAGGATCTTATGCAGTGAGAATCAACCTCCCTAGGATAATGACTAGCATATTTAAATTATGCAAAATCGTACAAATGAGCTGCACAAGACAATCACTTTTATACACAAAATCATGTGGACGAGCAGATATCTGTAATCTTTGCAAGGAAATAAAATCCTATAGAATGCTAGAACTACACACTTTAGGGAATCAGTGGCAAATTCCATTAGAAACTAACATAAGAGAACTCATAAATACAAGTAGGCTTAGAAAATTCAGCTAAGGTTTTTTAAACACCATAAATACCTCATAAGATATCTCGAGTACGATCATTTTACTTTACTTATTTTTAAATCAATCAAACGACCTTCAATTTTTTCGTAAAATATAACATCAAGAAGCGCGCTAGACAGAAATACATAAAAGATGACCTAAAGTTCCGATGAATACTAAGTGTACAGCTTATTTAAACCCCATTGGGTTAAACAAAAGTTCACAAATTTCTGGCTATATATCAAATGGACTGAAAGCGACCAGTGCGTCCATTTAAATAACCGGGAAAAATCTTAGTAACAAGGAAACCAACTGGGTGCGAGTGAGAAGTCGTGAACAGTGGGGTATAACAGATAGCGTGTGAGGACAAATACTCACCGCTGATGACACTGGTTAGCGGTCGCGCTATGTCGTGAATTGGCAGAAGTTGGAATTCATGGGTTAGGCATTGGGTCGGGTCTCAGTCACTTAATGGTATACGAATTCGTCTTGTAACCGGAGGGTCCTGAGTTCAAACCCCGATGGGTGCGTACTGATGAAAAGTCTCAAACTGGGATAAAACGAACATTCAGTACTCCGTGGTTTCCAATGGTTCTCTAACCTATGTTAGCTCACGAAGACATCCTGTAACCAATCAAATCGAATCCCTGCAAACCGACACTTGAAAGCTTCATAAGACGAATCTATGTCAAAAAGAAAACCAGCTTTTATAAGCCTCCAATTACTCCTCTCTTCTTATAGTGTGGTAATATTTCGACATAGTTCATTTGATGAAAGCATAAGCGCTTGCGATCGACATGTACTACAGTCACACCACAATAACAACATGCCATCTAAGCAATTCACAGTTTATCATGATCTTGACAACAAATTACACTATTATATTAAAAATAACTTCTATTCAAACATTTTACAGATGAAATTTCAACAACAGAATACCCTCACTTTGCTTCTATAAGCTGACATGAAAACATGCCGTTTTTCAGGTATTATTTTGAATATATAAAACTGTGTACTGAGAGTTCGAGGAATACAAGAAGTGAAGTTGGAAAGCCATCTGGTTACTACTAAACTTGCGATTGATAATATACAAACATCTAGTGCATGGGTGAATTAGAACTAAAATAGATCCACTGAAGATCTTTGATTGATTTGGTTGTTTTGCATCGATCATTTCGGTGACTGGACGGTACTGAAAGCAGCCTTATTTTAGTTTTGCAGTCTTATTGACTACTGAAAACTGTATATTCATAGTTTCAATTGAAGATCTCCTGTTAAAGTCAAATTTGTGAGGATCTGGTTAGCTTCAAAGCGTCATAATCTTAGAGAACTATTCAGAACCAAGAGGCGCTGAATAGTTATTTCTTCTTAGTTTAGGAGTCTTTCACAGTGCACACACATATTCTCACCAAGGAACAAGCTCACGACCTTCAAGTTATCAGTAGAGTACACATACCACCTAACCTGTGAATTCAAACTTTTCTAGATGCGTCACATAGTATCACTGATGCTTAATGTTGTTATTAGCAGGTAATCTGTCTTCACACTCAGTCTGATATATCTCCTGGGTCACACCTTAGCATCAGAACTTTGACATGTCCTTCAAGAATTTTACCAACAATGATCAGTTATTCAATGAATGAACTACGATTTCCAAAAGACCTCTCTAACCGGGTGTCTATTTTTCAATGAATCCATGTCGAAGGAAACTAAAACTCTATTAAACCCACCAAAGTTAACTAGGATCAGTGGGATATCGTTATTTTGAACAGTTCAAAGTAACTGAATTGAAAATTAGCTGATGAAATTTGCTTTTCTCTATTGATTAGATTAACCGAAAATCGACAATCACATTATTCCCTTAGGTTCTGAGTGGAAAATACAGCTTCAACAACACCACATATCCACTTCACTCTCTCTTCTCTGCTATCCTGTTTAGCCGCCCCCACAATCTCCACTATGTCATCCTCAGACGACAAACTCGCTGTTCGCCAGTATAGTGTATCAAGTACACAACAACTTAACACACTTTCTTCTATACTCTACACCGTTTCAGACAGACACTCTCAACATGTTAAATATCAATGAGAACAAACAACAAAAGCGGAATTTAATTAAATCCCTTGCCAACCGCATCCGACGCATCTGTAGTCCAAATGTTCTAGAAACAGAATTAGATCTTTTGAGAGAAATCTTTATCCAAAATGGATACCCACCAAGATTCATTGACAACAATATCAAATCGAGAATTCGAAGAAGGGAAACTTCACTTACTCCGAAAAATAAACTCTACATGAACTTGGATTTTAAGGGAGATTTAACAAGCAATATTCTCAAGAGAAGGATCACATCATCTCTGAGAACAAAATTCTTTGCAGCAACGCTAAGAATAGTGTTCTCCAGTCGACCACTGATTTGCGGAAGCCTTAAGGATAAGATGCCGCATCTGACCACTTCTATGTGCATATATCAGTTCACTTGCTGCTGTGGAGCCAGGTACATCGGTCGTTCGACACGCATCCTGTCCAAGAGGATTCAAGAACACTATCCAGCCAGCATGGTTGCAAAAAGGCAATATTGGTGCAATAAGGAGTGCGATAATATTGATCATTCCATCTCAACAAACGCCTCCTGCTTCAAAGTAATCTACAGAGTAAAGAATAACCTACCAAAGGCAATACGGTTTCGTCTTCTTTGTATCGCTGAAGCTCTGACCATTCACAGAGAAAAACTGCAGGTGTGCATACAAAAGAGAATTACTCAACCAATTCTATTATCATGGTAACAACTTTGTTGATTTCTGAAGACTTAATTCTGTTCGTTTGCCTGTTTCTTTAATTGCTTATAACTCTTGCATTCATTTAGAACTCTTACGTAATTTCGTATTCACTACTTTGTTCCTATGTGTATCCTGAGTACAACTCAATCATCAAACTATTCATATTATTACGTAACTCCTTTTTAACAACTGTTTGTGACAACTCATCACCTTTGTTACTACACTAGTTTCATCAACACCCAATTTTCTTGACCGTTTTGTATTACGTAACTCCACTCAAAACTTACTAATTTTCACCTGTTTAATTAAAATAACCATAACCAATTGTATTTTTGTTTGACAAACCTAATGTACACATACATACAAAATAACCCATAAATATTTGCGATTGTACAGCTAAGTGTGAGTGAATTCACCGAAAAGAGACTCTTCGCTGAACTACGTGTTTTGTTTTCATTATTGCCTGGACGGGGATTATCCATGAAATAAAAACAAAAAGAAAACAAAAAAAGAACACTTACTTGTTTAACTCGACTTTCTAAATCCAATCCTCGTGTTAGTAGACGTGTCACCTCAGATTGTTGATTAATATAAGCATCGGATTTTTTAGCCAATTCATCTGATAATGTACGTATATGCATATTGGCAGCAATCAACTGGCGTGCACAGTCTCGAACTAAAGCAGTTTCATGCTCATCCAATTGATCTGCAGTATCTGATAGACGATTACGCTAATCGAAAGTGAAGTGAAGTGAACAATAATGATAATAATAATAACAAAATAAGCAAACTACTAGACAATTGAATTTCAGACATTCAATATTTATATATTTATTAATTTTTCTACAACAATTAATATCAACAAAAACACGTGAGTTTTAATGAAAGTTAATAGTGAATTCTGTCACTGGAGTAAAACCATAATATTGCATGGAGGATTTCATCATGAGCTGACATCAGTTAGAGAACCACTGGAAAACCTGGGAGTACTAGACATCTGCTTCTACCTAGTTTGGGACCAGTAGGGTACAGCAGGTTGAAGATGAGGCAGTAACTCATCGAAGAAGACATTGCGAAATGGTCGCGCGATGTCGTGAATTGGCAGAAGTTAGAATTCAAGGACCGTTGGATCGGGTCCCAGTGGTTCAATGGTCTACGACCTCGCCTTGTAACCAGAAGGTCCTGGGTTCTTACTCTGGCGGTGGGTGCATACTGCTGAAGAGTCCCAAACTAGGATAAAACAGCTGTCCAGTACTCCCAGGTTTTCCAGTGGTTCTCTAACTGATGTCAGCTCATGATGAAACCCTCCAACCAATCAAACAAAATCCCTACAAAACCAATACTTAAAACCATAATAATCGAAAATAAAAATGAGAGAAGTGATCAAAATTGAAATCAATCAAACTCCATATAAATCAATACTTCAGAATTGATTTTGTAACGGTGTAGAAGACAAGATACTTGGTATCTCTACATAGCGAAATTATATGCATTATAACTATATTCCCTTGTGTTCCGAGTGGAACATAGGGCTTCAACAGCATATCTCTCTGTTTTCTGCCGTCGTCTTCAGCTGGATCCACGATTGACCAAACTCTCTCATCTCTTCCTCACACGATATCCTCCATGTCGCCCTCATACCGTCGACCAATTCGTCACTTCCCATTTGGATTCCACTCGACCAATGGTCTGGCGTCCAATGTCATTCGACGGCCTCCTCAACATATACCCAATCCATCTCCCCTTTCTCCTACATATTTGTTAAGTGATCGGCTTTCGCCAGTTCGTTTGTTCTCATAGTTTCTTGTTGCTTATTCTTTCTGGCTGGCTATTTGATCTTCAGTATGGAGCCAGCGAAGATGGCAGCTGTTGATGAAAGTCTCCAGTGTTCTGTTGGAAATCCTTTCCGTGACACGCAGGGTTGATCCATTGGTTGAAATCATCATGTTGCACACTTAACATCCTCTTTTATTGACAACAATCTTCTTGTATCTCTTCTGGGAAAAGCCAGAAGCAATTTTATAAGAATTTAAGCTAGTATGTATGGCTGCTTAACAGAGGAATTCAACTATACACTATATTTAGTAGTGGGTCTTGTGTGAAGAGACAAATATCAGGGAGAGGCTTATAAACTCCTACTTTTTACTCTGTAAGCAAACAACAATGACAACTATGCCGCATTACTATTACATGTGGTATTAACCTTCAGTATTTTTTTTCTCTTTTCTATTTTTGGGTATTCACATGTATTTGTTAAAGGAGATAAAATGTTGTGATATGCACAAATGCTGAAAATTGCATTCTATATGGAAAATTATCGCTTGTAATAAAGTGATTATTATTATTACACACATCCAACAAATATGAATAATTAAATAGTTAAATTGCATACCTCTTGACGCAGTATATTATTCTCTTCTTCTAAATCTTGGAGTTTCCTGTTCAACTGGGAAAAGTTGACTGAAGACAGGGAGAGTCCATCACCTCCAGTACTAGATCCATACAGATTCAGAAACAACAATGATTTAAAGAAAATATAATAATTTCAACAAAATAACTGAGAAAGTTTTCTCATACACTGGACATGTTTTGTGTCAGTGGAATTTATAAATCAATGAAGAAGAGGTTATACGAACAAAAAGTCCAAATATATATATTGGGTCGACGAGAAAATCAATATCACAAACACAAATAAATATAATCAAAGGCAAAACTACAGAAACAACCAGTCACAGTGAAGGTCAACAGAAGAGATAAATATTTCTTTGATTGGATACTAGGTAGTATTAACTAATGGTGCAAACTGAATTCTACCAGCCAAGTTACCTGTCTATCTGTCTATCTATCTGGAATCAACATAGAACTTGACACCGAAGTGCAGCAGTTCCAAATACCACGTTCCAAATAGCACACAAAGGTAGATAAGAAAATGAGTGAAGAGAATCAATAGAGTTTTGACAAGTATAAGAGTGAAACAGAATGGTCCACCGAGGGAGAGGGCTCTCGAATGGTTGCGCCACAGGATGATCCTGCATGCCGGTCTCGTCTCGCAAGAAGGCAGGGGTGGATGTGTTTGGTTCTCCTGAAAACCAATACCCAGTCAATGGGTGCATCACTGTGTGAATTTCCCGACCGAAAGCTGCTACCTTGACGTGGTGGCCGGGCTTGAACACCGCAATGACCCGACAAGCTATACTGGCTGAAACTTATGTCGCTTGAGGTCCTACCATGCCAGGAAGGTTGTTTGGATAGCGGTTAGACAAAAAGCAGTTACCCAATCCAATGCCATGACTCAAACAAAATCACAAAATATCATGCCGGATCGGTCGGGGCCCGGATTAACAACGACCGCGCTTTCTGCTGCCGTGTCACAGGGCAGAAGTGATAAATATGCTACTGAGACACACCAAATAAAAAAGAACAAACAAAAGCAGGCCCCGTGTGACCGGCCTCAAGCAGTTGTCCCCTGGGCTCTGCGGTCACGCAACCAACTTGCACAGTGTGGGCAGCCGGGAAGTAACAATCGCCCTCACAATCCTAGCCAAGTTACCACCAACTGTCCAATCAAAGTATTCACTACAGCCCTACAGAAGATTAATTAGGCAGTCAAATAACTCAGCGGTAATGGCCCTGACTGCAGCACTGAGTGACTCGGGTTAGAAACTCGGAAGGGGCACGAGTCCCTTCAAGACTTCTTGTCAATTACTTCCGACCCCCCCCCTAACAGACAAATATTTTGTTTATGGAGAATTCCAAAAGCTCATTTTGCAATGTTGTCCAAAATTACAGTGAAGCCTTACAGAACAGAAAAAATTCACCCGAGCTACAAATCTCTACTATTTCAAAAACAATTAGAACGAATATTCGAGAGTAGATGAATAATTAAAGCGACTGACTGTTTTGCAAACATTCTTCTTAAGACCAAACAGTTATAGATCCATTAAGTTTAGCATACAATAAATCGCCAATAAAGGCAAATTAGAATTATGTTAGAAAGTGTATTTATTGCGTGGTACAAGTACAAGATGGAGTAATAGTCAGTCTGGTTTTGATTATCATTTAAATCCATAAAAAAACTACAGAGAAATAAATCAACAAATGAGATACGTTAGACATTTTAGAATACAAAATATCTGTGAACACGTTTAATTCAGTTGCACAGTTATCCATGATCTATATGCCACTTCACTTATTTGGAAAGTGGCACGAATACAAAACGCCTTTATGGCATTTCCAACTTACAATACCTCTGTAGTGAAGGTTATATAGGAATATCGATCAAAGGATGTGTGTACTGCACAGAAGTTCATTGTATCCTTCTTCACGGTTATGAGACATGTCTGTTGAAAGGGGAAAACTTGAAGAGATTAGCTGTCTCTGACCATAGATGTCTGCATCCTGTCTCCCATTTTAAGTAGTATATTATTGGAAACGACTTCAACCCTACGGCGTACCTCAAGCCTTTGTTAACCACATTCAACAGCTATATGACAATGCCACGCGTCATTGATCCACAACGGGAAACTCAGCGAGACGTTCGAAGTGAATACAGGAGTAAGGCAAGGCTGTCTATTATCAACGATGATACTCTTAATTGTGGTGGACTGGATTATGCGTCAGACTGTTGGGGGTGAGGAGTCAGGAATACGCTGGATCACCGATAGGAAAACTCTAGAAGATACGGATTTCGCAGATGATATATGTGTAATGTCACACAAACTCCAAGACTTGCAAGCGAAAACTAACAAACTGGCTGAAGAGGCAGCGAAGACAGGACTCAAGGTGAACACAGAAGAGATGGAGGCGATGAAGATAACCAATCAACAGCAACATCAACCAGCACCAATCACCATCAACGGGAGAGATTTAACAGAGGTTGACTCCTTTCACTTATCTGAGAAGCATCGTTTCAACTACAGGCAGAACGGGCGAAGATGGCAAGGTCAGTCAGGATCGGAAAGGCAAGATATGCCTTCATCAACCTGAAACCAATTAGGAAATCTTCTGCACTCAAAATAAGGAACAAGAATCACATTTTCAACACCAATGTCAAGTCGATGCTTCCACACGGGTCAGAAAGTTGCACTGAGTCTAACAAGAAAAATTTCCAACAGGTTGCAGACTTTCATCAGCAAGTGCCTTCGCCGACTCCATATTGAAGACCAAATGGCAGGCTAGAAAGAACTAGTAACAAGAAACTCTGCAGTGGAACAAACCAACCAAGAGCTGATCGCTCAACAAATATGCAGGAGAAAGTGGAGATGGATCAGGCATACATTGAGGAGGCCGCCGAATGACATTGCACGCCAGGTCATGGCTCGAGTCGAATCCCAATGGGAAGTGACGAGTGGGTCGTTGGTGCGAGGGTGAGATGGATGAGATCGCGGGAGGAAGAGATGATAGAGTTTGGTCAATCGTGGAGCCAGCTGAAAAGGACGGCAGAAAACAGAAGGAAGTGGAGATGTGTTGTTGAAGCCGTATTTTCCACTCGGAACGCAACAGAATAGTGATAATGCTGAGAGGTCAGCCGTAGGGTATCAAGTAAAGTGGATAAAGTCAATCAAAGTTGTTGAGGTTAGGAAACTAAATCGATTCAGATGGCTAGGACATGTGTTACCCGACAAAAGATTAGGTTAGGAGAGAGTTAGGGGTGGGACCAAACCGAAACCTAGTACCAATTCATGAAGTCTTTGACTGTTGGTTTGAATCAATCACATAAGGAGGTGTAAACCACTTGGAAGGGGGTCCTCAAAACACTAAAAACCAATCGCTTGAGACCAATAGTGATATGTTTCATGATCGTTCTCTCAATGGTGCAGATGAATTCAATTTTTATGAACCCAACAGATCCAGTACATTTCTGATCATTGCAGTCATCTTAATGTACTTTATGGACTATGGGAACTAGAACTGCTGTATATTTTTGTGCAAAGTTCTATATTGAAAACGTTGAACACTAATCAGTTTGGATACCATAAATACAGTTAATATGAGTGAGTACCTTACAGACTGGTTGTAAAACTGAGTGTTTTTTTTCAAAGTATTCTAAGAAGATAAATTGAACTAATGATAAATGAGCCTTAAACTATTCATGATTGAATGACACAGAACGGAGACCTTCCCCACCAACCCACCCAGAAGCTGTTTGCAGGAAAGCTTTCCTGAATACACCTTAGATAAAAAGTACCTACACCTCAGGAATTTAAAACTATTGTTCCGCAATTTGGCCACTTCTAATGTATAATCTCTGTTATTCCCCACAACTGACACATTAACTGACATGAGTTTAATGCAGCTTGGTTGTCGGGTCATCGATAAAAAAAGTGTTAACTATTTACTCAGGAATTCCTATTCCGAAGTATTGGTTTTGCAGGGATTTGGTTTGATTGGTTGGAGGATTTCATCATTAGCTGACATCAGTTAGAGAACCACTGGAAAACCTGGGAGTACTGGACAGCTGTTTCCTCAGTCCCAGTTTGGGACTCTTCATCAGTACGAACCCACCACAGAGCTTCGAACCCAGGACCTTCTGGTTACAAGGCGAGCTCGTAGACCATTGAGCAGCCACTGGGACCCGATCCAATGGTCCTTGAATTCTAACTTCTGACAATTCACGACATAGCGCGAATCCTCCATGGAATCAAACAAAATCCTTACAAAACCAATGCTTAAAAATTGATCCGATGCTCATTAGCGACTGGCCCTATTTAGGCAGTTAGCCTGGGGTTCTAGTGGGAAGCCGTGACCAGTATGGCACAGCAGGTTGAAGATGAGGCAGTAACTCATCGAAGAAGACATTGCGAAATGGTTGCGCTATGTCGTGAATTCGCAGAGGTTAGAATTCAAGGACCATTGGATCGGGTCCCAGTGGCTCAATGGTCTACGAGCCGGCTCGCCTTGTAACCAGAAGGTCTTGGGTTCGAACCATGTCTGTGAGTGCGTACTGATGAAGAGTCCCAAACTAGGACGAAACAGTTATCCAGTACTCGTTGGTTTTCGAGTGATTCTCTAACTGATGTCAGCTTATGCTAAAATCCTCCATGCAATTCCTCTTCTGTTTATCGCCTTGTATACAGAGGGAGTTACGTGAAGTCATTCTCATCAGAAGCGATGAAAAGTGATTGAATAGATACATCTTTGAAGCCTACATATATGGGCAAATATTATAAACATTAATGTACAGGCCAATAAGGCATACCACTCACTATTGGTCGAGCTATCACACACACGCACACACACACAACATTCCATTTTTATTGTACAAATCAATACATTACTTAATGGACATCTTTCTCATTTATCTTTAAAGTAAGCATAAACACAAAATGGATACAGTATGCTGATAAATAAGATTATATGCACATATATATAACATTAATTTTAAGAGCAATGCCTTATTTTTGGAAACATGAAAGACTGTCATTATTAGTAGTTATTGGAATAATTCAAAAAAAACGAAACAATTATTATACAATGGGATTGCAGCATATCA